CTCCTTTTCAAAAGAAGGTTTTAATCAATCATTTTAATCTCTATTCCTTCCTTTAAAAAATTAAGAAAATATACTTGAGGTACTTTCTCCTCAGAAGTTTAAAATATTCCATTTAGATCAAACCTCTTTTTTGCTTGGAGGTGCTTAAGCAGGTTACTTGAACAGCCCTGGAGAACATGTTTTAAGTAAGAGGCAAAAGCACAATAATGCTTTCCAAACTAGGCTTAAAAAGGCAGACACGAGTTTTGTTCTGTTTTGGAGAAAATAAACAGAGAAACACATACTCAAAAAGTCCCATGCAGAGGGGACTACTTCCAGAAGATCGAATATCTTCTTTCACATTGAGGCATTCTGGATGATTGTAATTAGTCTGGCCTGTAAATAGCAGCATTATTTTGTATCCTTTCCTCTCCACCTCAAGAGCATATTAAAAACCAACCAACCAACAAACCTTTCAAAGCACTTACCTCCCCTTTAAAGAACAATATTCTGTAGTTACATACCCATGCAGAAGCTCTCTAACAACTGAGAAACCTCAAATCTAATGAAAAAAAACAGGAGAGGCTCCAAGAAGAGAGAAGTATAAAACTAGAAATACGCACGGTAAACAGTAGCAAGTACGCACGCTTTAGTTCATCCTAGCAATTCTGCCATAGGGAGCAACAAAAAGGGTCGTGCGCTTGTACTGAGTGCAGGACCCAACAAACACAAGATAGAACAGAATGCCACCTGAGAGGAGGTCTAACGTGTGTGAGAGCTGCTCAACAGATTAATTTGTGTACCTATTTATATGGGACTGTTCCTGTCGACTCCAAGTGTTTGAGATGAAAAAGCCCATAAATTCGCCATTCCCTAAAGCATATGGACATGCATGTATTTGACAGCACCGTTCACTATAACGTGCGGTATCAAAAAACCACATCAAGGTTTCCTGGCGCTTAAGACATTGACCTATTAAATTAAGTTTCACTTAATCTGGGGCTAATCAATATGAAGGCAGTGATTGAAAGTTCTTACATTTCCCATAGAGCTCTTATGTGGCCAAATTACCCCCTGTTCTCAAGAAAGCCAATTTGCTCTGATGACTCACATCCCATTTTGAATTGACCATCACCAGTGCTTCCTCCCAGCCGTATGTGGTAATTTCTTATGCAGAGTACCATCCTCTAGGGATACAATTTGGAATTTTTTTTTTTTTTTCTTAAATTTCATTTTGACCCAGAGTGTGAAACAAAACACGATCAAAATTTGCACACTGCTCTGGAAAAGGCCTATTACAGTGCATTTACCAAAGCTGTCAGAAGAAAGTGCATTAAATAACAACAATGGACCTCAGAGAAATTAACTGTATCTCTTTATTGTTAACCAATGAACGTTATCCAAAATAGTAGATGAAATTGTAGCTTAATTGTACAACACAAAACATGATGCTAAAGGAAAAAGCATGTGGAAAATTACTTCACCAAGTAATAATTAAATGTATTCTTAGTATTTCCGCACCAGTAAGTGTTCCCAACTGCTGGTGACAGCAGCTATTACCACTTTGTTCACTGTGAAAATCCATATTACAAATGGTTGTTTCTGGTTGTTTAGAAAAAAAAAAATTCACACAGTTTTATAAATGGATCTAATCCATTTAGCCCTACTCTATATATTGTAGATTTACGAACAGCAAACTTTACTGGTATTTTTTCTCCAACACTGAAACTGATGTATCAGTGTTAGTGCACACTTTCCAGGGAAAAATGAAAACTCACTGGAAGCACAGTATTTCACCTGCTATGGCAAACTGTTTGAGTACTCAGAAATTTGCTTAAGCTTCAGTGTACGAAGCCTGTGAAACAAAAGCTGTTCTTACAATGCACTGCAAGTAGAAACACCACCTTCCACCAAGCAGCATTTTGAAGCATGTGCACACCATCTGCACATCAGTCTTCACGGTCAACCAGATATGTTTAGCCCCACAAACCAAAAATATATTAATGTATCTTTATTTTATTTTCATGATGTCACCCCACATAGCCAACCTTTAACTCCGCAAAATAAAAAAAAAAAACAAAAACAAAAACCCAAAAACTTAGTTGGACTGTTCATAAGAAATTTAAACCTATTGTGCATGAAAAAATGTTTAATAAAATGGCAAATTTTAATAGATAAGTGTAAATTTATGAGTGCATAATAACAAACAGAAAAGAGCTGAACCATCCTCAGAGAAAGCAGGGTTCTTCCACTGTAGATATTTACTAGGGTACTGTAACAGAAGGAATAACTGCAGACCACATTAACTGTAAAGTTATTTCTAAAGTTCAATTTCTAAGCAAATTTCTCAAAAAAGCGGGTCTCCTTTTCAAGAGGGGAAGGACTTAATAACAATGATCTGACATCAGATGTGACAATTACAATACTAGCTTCACTGAAAACTGAAGCTACAAACACGTTGACTCCAATTCTGGGAACCTTCATTTTGTATTTGGAAACCCAAACTAACTTGCACGCGCATTCTACACCCCTCCCAGGAGATAGTATACCAGTGACAGGTTACAGCTTTAAAACACACAAGATGCTTTTACAATTTAAACTCAACAAAAGGCAGTTAGTATTTAGCACTATAAATCCATCTTAAAGTAAAACAAAGTCCTAGGAGTAAGGGCTCCTAGCATTCTATGATAAACACTGTGTAGTGACAGTCAATTTAAAACAGGGTTTTTTCGTGGTGTTTGAAGGACCAGTCATCATGTATATAGTAGTGAGGTAGGATACTGTCCCCTCCCTGGGACTGATGTTTTCATATGCTCCCTTGCCAGAAAGGTCCAGGTCTCCCTACTGCAAATGAAATAACTACAAGCAAATAGCACATGAAGCTTTATTATTTTTTTTTTTTCCTTTGCTGCATTAGAACATTTTGCGCATCTAAATAACAACCTAGGAAAAGCAATACTTATTCAAGCCTATCAGCAGCCACGTGCTGCCCACAGGTAGCGTTCCATTTAAAAATATTTCCTGGAACTACCACCTGCCATCCAGACCTTTGTGAACAGGCAGGCAAAGAAAACCATCAATGATGACAGGACATGAAACACCAAATAATTTCACTTGGGATTAAAAAAAACTAAACTGAAAGTCAGCAATATCAAACTCTTAATAGTGTAGCTACAGTGAAAAATGTGATTCCAAACTTCATACTGAAACAGTGCCTATCCGGTTTAGGCTCAGTTCCATTCTTCTTTCTATTTCTTAATGTTTAAGCAATACATATACACTTGTCAGTCATATACTTCACACCAGTTTCCAAAGAAAAAAATATGAAACAATGAAACTGAAAACATGATGGGGGAAAAAAACCTGCTGTGGTTCTCCAGACCCTCCCCCCAAAAAAGCTAGGGATGACAGACTGCCTTACTGTTGAATAGCTTCCCCTAAATTTGTCTTCTAGCCACTGTAGTCAAACTGGTATTAAGTGCTTTGGCAAAGTGGGGTGCAATCCATCAAATCTGCAAAGGCCTGCTTTTTTCTCTGTTGGTGGTTCAGCTTTACGAGGAACATATACGCAAAATAACAGCTCTCACATTGCTTCAAACTCATCAATACGCTGCTTTGTATTGCCTTGTCGGATTTGTCGAAGAGTCTTGTACTTATCACGGCCCGCTTTAACATTCTCAGCATGAAGGACATCGTTTTGTGTTTTCTTGGTTTCATCTCTGGCTTGAGCCAACTCAGAACTTAAAGCCTGTTGAATAAAACATTTGCATTTAAGTGCTTTGACTAATCTTTTAATGATGCTGGAAATTCTGGTAACAACTATTCTGCAACTTGCATAAGGATTTCTTGAATGCCAACCTATGAAACGCTTGTTGGGCTGTTCAGTAACTTAAGCTGTGAGGTCTATCAGAAAGACTGCAGGGGGAAAGAGAAGGAGTACATACGATTCTTTCCTTACATAAACGTGGGCATAAAAAAAAAAAAACCCTCATACCATAACATCCAAGAAGAAAGGGACCAACAGGATAAAGCAGGAGAATGACCTTATTTTAGAATTTCTGCTTGACTAAAGACAGCTCTTGTTTATCTCTGTGATCCTGTTCAGTGTCGGCCAAGCAGAAAGGATATTACATATACATGCTACTAAGATATTGCTGCCAGAAAAAGCAGCAGCTTTCCATTTCTTTTATTTCCTTCCCAAATAGACGTTTCATAACAAGGCAAAGGGTTACCACTAACATAGATTATTATACTTTGATGGGTAAGACTAGTCTAGTAGGAAATGCTCCATTTCAGGGAAATAAGATTAATCCAAAATGGGCATAATTCAGTTTTTCATTTATAACGACTATGAATGACTGCAAATAAACACAAAATAAGCTATAAAGCACAATCTTACATCCAGTCTTGCTATCCATTACACTACCAACGATATTGGTTGGTAAATTAGTAATAAACCTACTACATGATAAAAAAGCTGTTTCCTTGGCATACCGTAATTTCAGTGAGATTTTTGACAAATAAAGAATGAAAACCCAAAGCCTGAATTATGTTGATACAACTATGAATCTTCATTACCTGGAGCTGTTTCTTAACACGTTCGTTTTTCTGTGTTTCTGTTACCCGTTCTTCCTCGCTCCTGTGATTCATGACACCATCAGAAGACAGTTCTGCACTGGCCTCAGCATTGTTCTCATCATGTTCATCATGTTCATTCTCTGTTGGAGGAATAACTGGTGGGGGAGGAGGTGGAGGAGGAGCAGACATCACAGATTTCAGTTCTTCTTTGGTCTTTTCCAAGTCCTCTTGGGCTGCAAAAGCCTAAATATAGTAAACAGTACTTAGCATCTTTTAAAATGATTTATGAAGAGTCAGAGAAATAAAAATAAACATTTGAGATGTGTTCAGACACATAGGAACTGTCTTCTATAAATGACATGATTAGCTTACACACTGAAAATTGTCAAATAGGAATACAGGGTAGAAAAGATATGACTCAAAACCAGCTATTTCCAGCAGTAGGCAAGAGTGAGAGAATAGGGCAGTCACAGTGATTGCTTTCCAACTTTCCTAGCCTCTTAAATTTGAGGCTCAGGGACTTCCTAAATCAAAGACGGTCTTCAAATTTCACATTCCACCAGAATGTATAAGAATGTGTTCAATCACCTTTTTGAACCTGCGTACACAATTAGTATTCACATCCCATAGCTAATTACAAATTTTGTGAAGAAACACGATTTTCCTTTAAACTGTTGTCCAGTTGCATTTGATGTGCCTTTGTTGTTGTTCTGGTTTATCTTTTCACCACCACTCATGATTTTATACATCTCCCTCCGGAGGTGTTGTGTTCTCCAACACAAAGCTCCCATCTATTTCATCATATATAAGGAAGCCATTTCAAATCATCGATCATACCTTTGTGATGAGAATTTCCCCCCTTTCATGACTATTTAATATTAAGAAATGAGTAAAATAGAAGTATAGGCTGGCTTCAGTAGACTGGAGAACAAAATCCTTTAAGAAAGGCTTCTCTGAAGCCAAAGGGAGAGATACAATCCCATGGACTTCCAGTGGGATTTACACACTCATCTCCCTTAGTTTGAAGTTCTGACTTGACACAGAACGAGCTCATTACTTTGTGCTGCCATTCTGAGGCCTCCTCTTCTTTCTTTTTCTTGGCCTCCTCTAGAAGTGCAATCTTGGCAGTGAATTCAGCAAGTTCTGCCGCCTGAAACAAACAAAAAAATGAAGTAGAAGTTTTGATCTGGTAACAATGGAAGAAAGGAGAGTCTTTGCTGCAATCAGACTCAAAGAGACTTAGTTACCATCCATCACTTCTCTGCTAAAAATAGAAATTTTAAGCATACATGACAGGAAATTAATTAGTACTCTTGCCTGATGGAAATAAGTCCAGGAAAAAAAATGTTTATCTTCCACACTCCCAAAGCTTGCTGGGAAAGAGCGAGCTGTAGTTACAAATTAGCATTTGGGGCTGTTTTAGTTTAATACAACTTCAATGCTTCCACAAATAAGGTTATGTTTCTGCATCATAATCTCAGTACTATTAAGCTAAATCTTGTCCTCAGAATTGTGTGCTGAGTTTACAGAAGATGGAAGTTCATTTATAGTTGAGAAATCATTTTTTCTACTCTTTTCATGCCTTTCTCAGTTATTATGCGCAAATCTTGAATTGGACGTTCAGCACAGAATTGAAAAGATACGGTAAATGCTGGAAACAGGGAAAAAAAACCAATAAAACCCCCAAATGACAAAAACCCCACAGTGTCACCAACTCCCCCCCACCATCATGAAGCTTCAGAACAGACCTACTTCAGAGAACAGGCTTCCCAGCGGACTGCAGAAGGAAGCTACTCTTGTTCCCCCCAACAATCTGTACCTATATTTCACATACTTTTATTTGTGTTTCAATGTACTTGTCCATTTGACAAATTAGATATAATGAAGAATAAAGGCTAAATTTTCAACTGTCTTTTTCAATTTGTTTCAAAATAGCATTAGAGTGTCTTACTAGCTGCTCCTGGTTCTTCATCTGATCAGCTGCCTGCTTGGCTAGAGCAGCTTTAGCTTCTTCACTTGATCCAGTTCTAGAGCTCTTCTAGTCTGTTCCTCTAGCTCTGCCAAAAGGAAAGTTTGCAGGCAAGATATCACTACCTGGCTCTTCCTCATATGTAACACAAGTAAGAGCTGTAACACGCTCAAAATAAAGTAAACTAGAAAGCTGTCAAGGCTGCCTCAAGCTAAGAAGAGCTGTTGAGTATGTTACCTGAAGTTATGCTCCACATCTGATTTCCACCCCCCCCACCCCACCCCACCCCCGGACATACTTTGGATATATTTCATCTCACCTGACAGCCCAGTGTTTCAGAAAATCATCACCTTGCTGATAAAACTAAACACTCAAATATACGTACATATACTTGCACATACAACCTCACTCTTACTACTGAGGTGATTTTATATACATCAAATCATACTCTCTTACAGTAAAAAGAGCAAAATACTCTTCTACTCTATTGAAATGCCTGACAAGGAATCCTTAATTGCAACAGACAATTTAGGCACGTGCCTCCAGCAAAATGATCTAAGACACATTGGAAGGGTCAGAAAAATTCTCCATAGAACAGAGCCAAAAATGTGCAGACAGGAAAATTTTAAATCAGGGGAGGGATAATAGTTGTCTAACTGCCTGGTTAGCAAAATATTGCAATCTAAAGGGCAGAACACTGAGTGAAATAGGAAAAAGTAATAATCTACCAGCACTGCAAGTTAAGATTTGCACAGGCAAAAGAGGCTCCTCTGATGTGCAAAATGAAGAGACTATGAAAAAATTCTTCTGAAGCTCCTTGCTGATTCTAATGATAAATTTTCCACTATGTTTTTGTCTAGGCATAGCTGGCATAGATTCCTTCACCATAAAACCTAAACAACTGCCCAGTTATTGGAATGATCCATTTGCTCTTCACCATATGCTTTAATACTAAAAAAGTATTTTTTATATAAAAAAGTATTTTTATATACTGCCCAGGTATGCTGACACATGCTTAATCTTTGCACTTGTAGTTTTAAGTAGGTTCTCATGCAATTAATATTCTTCTGTTGGTTTTCCAGGCCTACTGCTTCAGTTATAAAATGAAATGAACAGCATTACAAGTACGTGGAGTTGTACAAATGCAGTACTTAGAAAATTAAATAAAATGCATAAATATTTAAACACATTACTCAATCTTCCTGTGAAGATGGAGAACACTTAACTACCAAGTAAACTACAGAACACAGACACTATTTACATAAACACTTCCATATGTGAATAGAAGGTTAAAAAGACCAGCAACACATGAACAGTATGTATTGCATCTGAAGTTAGGCTACATTGCTTACAACAGTTATGAAAAAACGTACATTGTTAAACCTTTAGAATCACCCTGACACTGTTTTGTCCTGGGCTAAATAGGTCTCCTTTAAACAACTCCAAGGCATAGTTTGTGAGTTACCTGTCTGGATGTGTCCAACCTGTTCTGCATTGAAAGACTGAAAAATATGGGGGTAGAGCTGGAGAACAGTGCCAGGCATATGTAATTTATTTGCATAGATTTAGTCAGTGATTCTGTCTACCGTGTCTGAAGCCAGCAGTTATGAACAGAAGAGAGGAACAGAACTTTTATGAATATGAACCAAAACCTGAAGCAAAAAGAACATGGAGAGGAAGGACTGGGAAGTAGTGGAGGCAGGGACTCTAGAGGATGGTTCAAAACAAAGAACTGTGATTGGTGAAACTACATTTATTCAACTAAAATCTGACAAGATTTTGATATTTAAATTGTCAAAACTTACAAGGGAAGAGGAAAATGAAGGAACAAGGAATTTCCAAATGAAAAGCTAAATTCAACAAAATCCTAGAGCAAGTACTTTGAATCTTCCTCTCCAATTTCCCTGTTCCCTCCAACTCCAGGTTTTTGGCACTTTAAGCATTTCATAATTCTGAGTTGAACTGTGTACGCATTAATTTCCTGTTTATTAAATGGAAGCTTTTGCTGTATTAAGTATTAGTTTTATATTACAAATGCACACACACGCACACACACCATCTTTTAACTCTCAACAATGAAAAAGAATCTCGCCTCTTAAATAATACATTGCTAAATTCTTGTTATTATTAATAAAATAAATTTAAAAAACAAGACCAAAAAAACACACATACCGAGAGAATTGTGGAACTGAACTACCCAACTGAACTAAACACTGTTATCAGATATAAGAAAACCAGGACCAGCAAGAGCTCACCTTTCTGAGCTTTCATTGTTTGTTCCTCAATTTGTCTTAAGCGTTCCATTAATTCTTCCTTTTCACGCTCTATTCTTTCCTTTTCCTTTTCTGCTATCTCCCTTTTCTTCTTCTCATTTTCTAACTGTGCCCTGAAAAAAACAGTAGAAGTTTTTTTTAACCTCAAACAGATTAAGTTCTACTCTAAGGATGCCAGTAGCCTATTTTTCAGTTTACTCAGCCAGTAGAGAAGCACATCATTTTACATGTTTCAAATTCAGTTTACAACCCAAGAACCAGCAACTTTCTGTTTCAAAATACTGTACAGAAGAACAATTTGTGAACAGAACTGATCAGCAGCCTTGGTTGCAGTTCAGCCAGGTAAATCCACAATTATACTTGCATTTTAGACATAGCTGATGTTTCACCTGGGCTAGAAATGGCAACACTAATTTTTAAATATACAAAAGGTTAAGTCATGACATTCTTCACTGAACTTGTTTTAAAGGTTCACCTGTAGAGTAAAAAAGTCCCTAAGGAGCAAGCAACAGAGAGTTAAGACTTTCACAAAAATATAATGCAAAACAACGGTACAGCTACTATTACTATGCTGAAAGCTCAAAAAAGATACGGCATTCTATTAAGACAGGTGAGCCACACCAATCCACAAACCTGCTTACATATTACAGAAGGTAAAGTAGCTCTCTCTCTTCTAGAACGCTAAGATGTCTGCTATCTCATGACTTAGTTTTCTTAAAAGGGTAGGAAGAATTTTTTTCTGTTTCATGGAAGTTTGTTAATTACCTTTCCAATTGTTTCTGATGTTTCTCCTCTCTAGCTTGGGCCTTCATCTGTTGCACTTCAATTGTATCAGGTTTCCTCCTCCTCATGTACAATTCATGATTTCCCATACACAGTGCCAAAATTCGCTTGTTAATTCTCAGACGGGGTGCATAAAAAACAAAATCCTAGCAAAAATAATTGCAGCATATCCATTAATCTAAAAATACAGTTGTGACAAGACGCAAAGAATTACTGCATGCTTGCATTTGTTAAATTTAAACTTACAAATATGCTGACATTCATCCTCTGAGCAATCCAACACCATAATCTATAAATCTAGTTACCGTGAGAAACTTGCAAGATAAATGCAAAATTACACCTGGATTCCTCCATGTAGAGGTTACCTTGTTTCCACAAGATTATTTATTTAAACTTCTAAACAAGTGAGATGATTCTCTACTCTATTTCAATAAGTTAGTTAACCAACGAGTTTTGACCTAGAAAATCTCATTAAATGTGCTGCTGTAATGTTAAAAAAAAAAAAAAAAAAAAAAGGACAGAGATGGAAGGCCAGAGAATTTAGCATCTTATACTGTGGCTTTTCAATGCATCAAAAAATATTAGCTGACTTAAATAAAAAACAAAACAAAAAAAATCTTGAAGAGCATCAACCAGAAGGAAGAGAGAGAAAATAAACATACCATAGATCAAAATAAAAAAATCCTTTTGTTTACTGACTATTTTACCAATGAGAATAATAAATGTCACAAAATATTTACTCATGCCATATTGCCAGGGCAAGTCCCTGCAGGCTTAAATCTCTTCATATACAAAGGCATACAATTCTACACACTACTTACAGGGGCCTTTTTGTCAATCGGCTTTATGACAAATTTTTTGTCATTAAAAGAGATGTTTCTTATTTCACTCCAAGGAAAACCAATCTTGGGTGTCAGCCTTCAAAAAGAAAAAAGTTCTCATTAGAAGCAAAGATGCGCATTTTATTTGTGTCCACTAAGTCTCAACTGCACCATTTTCACTATCACACTTAATTACATTTACAAAACGTAACAGTTCAAGCATATTTTGATAGACAATTTTTTTACACATTATTCCATCACATGAATAAATTAGATAAATAAATCACATGGCACTAACAGGAGGAATTCAGAAATTTCAATTTGTGACTTATTCTATCATCATTAAATAGATGCTAAGCATCACAATTGTACTGATCCTTTATAAGCTATTGATAATTTTCAGTGAAAAGAATAACTATTTAGTTTAAGAAAAGTCTGACATTCCAAAGGCTGAAATTAAATTAGCTTTCAGCAATGTTGTACTTTGGTTTAACTCAGACATAAGATAAGTGATCTTACATTTCCAAAGCTCAAGTTAAATTTTTTTCCCTTGCATCTTAAGTAAAATAAATTCAGTTCAGAAACCATTGCAAAGTTATGCACCAACTGCATAACTGTAAATATTTTTCTCCATAAGCACTTAATTTTTTTCAATTTATATTTTCTTAATTACAAGCATTAGAAAATATTTAAGTATTTGATTGCTAACTATCAAGAGTTAAAGAATACCAAAACCAGATTGATCATTCAATCTGATCTGAACATTTTCTGAGTAATTCCTTCTTTCAGGAGTTATATTGCCATCTAATGGCAATTAAGACTTACAGAATTTTGTTACAGAGCATATACATCCAAGAGCATTAAGTTCCAGTTCAATTGACAGCTGTTATCTGGTGTTTGACACATCACATTTAACTTCAAATCACTGTGAAAGGACTGTTGACATCAGATACTACTAACAAGTGTTTGGAAATAAACAAAAGAATAAGCCTGTTCTTCTGTTTTCAGATTCTTCAACTTTTGCACATTTCAGCTTTATCTCTCTTCAAGTAAGACAGAATCTTTGATCTCTCTATCAGGACACAAGGTTAATCTATTTTCTTTGATGTCTAAAAGGTTTCACTTTTAGATACCGAAGTTCTTCATGCTCTAACAGCTATAGTCCTAGTCTTACAAAATGTTTCTCATTAAATATGTTGCTCAGCTTCTCAATGTCCTTTCATCCTGACTGAAGAGGAAGTCTTGAGGGAGCAAAAAGTACAGAAAGAAACCATATAAAGACGGTCTAGCTATCACACATCCATATTAAGCAACATAAATTTAAGTTTATACATAACTGCTCTTCCTTTCCCTTCTTTTGCATCCCTGTTTAATCTTCAAAATTCAAATATTTCAGCAGTTAACATCTATGTCTCTTTTTCTATCTTCTACATAGATGAGAAGGTCTTTAAGAACCTGTTTTGCTAGATGTTACTGAACACACAATAAGGTAGGGTTTGTATAATCTCAGATAGGATCTCCTAGGACAAAACTGCAAAATGAGTATTAGCCACTTACTTATCATCATGCTCATAAATATTCAGACCCAAAGCATCAACTCCTAGCCACAATTCAGTTCCTTTTTTATTCTTTATTTCAAAATAGTTGACTCCATACATTTCCAAGTCTTGTGCTATCTTAAGGTATTCCATCATAGAATCTTCCCTGATGAAAGAAGAAAAAAAATGGCATAGTGTAGACAAGTCAAAAGTACATTGTAAAAATAAGGGAATTGCAGAATAACTATTTAGTGTAAAATTTAGTTAGGAATTAAGTCTCTCTTTGAAATTCATGTGTATTTTGATTCAGATACTTGTAGAGCTCTACTCCCTAATACCCAAGTATAGTTCAATCACCGCTCTTTGTCTTTTCACCCCATGAGCTAAGGAAATAAGTATATTTTAAAGGCAGGCAACTCTGGACAAAGGCAGTTGACAACCTTAACAGAAATCATGTAGGTAACCTAACTAGAAACTCAACCATCACCCCAGCTTTCATGGAAGTTTTTAATAACTGCCTACCCTGGTCACAATAAAGGAAAGTGGTTTCCAAATAAATATAATGTCTCAAATTATAATAACAACAAAACAAACCTTAAAGGTCTTCGAACATTTTCTAATTACCTTAACATTCCCCTGTGCTCTTCATGCCAGTTCTGTATTCTTTCTTCCCACTGTTCTTTTGTCAGTTTGTGCTGTTCTAACACACTGTGAACAGAAGTTGTTTCTATTAAATGACACTGACAACCAATTTAATCTCCTAAAGTTATAAAAATAAGTTTATTCACACAACATAACTTATGCTTTAATAGAATAAAGTTAAGCATGACTTCCTATACACTGCTCATCTTTTTAACCCAGACAGATGCAGAAACTTTGTATTTCAACAAATACACTTTTAAAATAATGTGAACACTTCTTTTTTCATAGTATTCTATACTTTTTGTAATATAAAAGTCACACCACGGCATATTTCAACTTTCAATACAGTCATAAAATGTAACGTTCAGAGCACCTGAAAATGCAGACCTATAAAATCCTCATACCACAATTCTGCAATTTAATCTCTAGGTATGCACAGATACACTCAAGCTTTCATTCTGCTGTCATCTGAAAGAAAAAGTAACACATTAAGACCAGCTTGTTGGGGTTTTATTTTGGGTTTTTTATAAATAAAATCAGTAGCGAAGCCGTTTCAGAAAACTATTTGAGGTTTATCTACAGCAGGCTGCAATGACAGGATTATGTTTGGACCTACTAGAACTTCAATGTAGTACTGGAGTAAGAAGTCAAATGCACGTGATAACTTTATTATGCTTTTATTCCATGCACCTAGCATTTCAAGCATTCCTAGAGAAGTTATTTTAAACGACAATTCAAAAAAAACCTCAACCAAAAACAAAACAAAAAAGAGACTGCAAAATAATCTTACGAAAGAAGTCAGAATAATTGTTTTCCTTCCTTTCTCTTTACTCAGGAAGGTATGGATTTACTACTAACTGAGTGATACAGAGGATACTACCCAAAGTGTTTCTTCTGTTATAGGATCTCTCTGTCACTTGATTTGCTACTCTGCCCCATATCTAGTGAAGAGTGCTTTTCAGTAGGAGCCATACTGCATTTTGATTTGCTCAGCGTGCATCCTTATTGACAGGCTTGCCTCCTCAAAACTTAGGTTGAGGTCTTAGTTTTTGTACCTGCACAAAGCTGACGTGTTCACAGCTAAATGATACAAGAACATACAACGACAAGACATCCTTTTTGTCTGTTTGTTTCTTCATCTTTAGCCTTGAATATAAATATAAGCCCTGAATATAATACTTAAGAGAAGCCTGTTACAGAACACACGAAGTAGAACAGCCTGCTTTGCCTGTAAATAATCTAAAAGCATCCTGGCAATCATGTACAAGTTTCTATTACATAAAAATTTTAATCCAAAGTCCTCTAGGACAACGTTAATTTATTAAAGAAGTTCTGTAATTAAATCAGGCCTGATTTTTACATTGTGAGCTGCTTTTCACCATTATTTCTTCTACTCCTCCAACAGACATTCACAAGGTCTTCAAACACTTTCATAGCAGTATAACATAAAGCTAACAATCAAAAAAATTAAAAGACAACAGGATATTGCAAAATACACAGTCCTAGGATTATGTCACACAAGTGCCCATCTGAAAATAAAAGCCCTGCTTCTAAGCTCTTCTTCACAGAATGGTTGAGGTTGGAAGGGACCTCTGAAGGTCATCTTGTCCACCTCCTGCTCAAGCAGGGTCACCTACAGCCAGGACCACATCTAGACAGCTTTTGAATATATCCCTTTATGAAGGGAGACTTCACAAGCTCTGCAGGCATGGTGACTTGTGGTTTCTTGGGCTTTCCAAATTAAGTGAAATTTCTACTTCTACAGAAATTCTTCGCACTTTCCTCTTTTTGAATTGAATTTCAATTGAAAGACACGAGGCAACAGGCGCAACTGAAATATACTTGAACAGAATTTTTTATTTCTTTACTAATAATGTGGTTAAACATAGAATAGAGAGGCTGCAGAGCGTCCATCCTTGGAAATATTCAAAACCCAACTGGAAAGGGCCTTGAGCAACCTCCTGTAATTAGAATGGAACACTTCAGTTGCAAGGGACCTACAGTGATCATCTAGTCCAACTGCCTGACCACTTCAGGGTTGACCAAAAGTTAAAGCATGTTATTAAGGGCATTGTCCAAGTGACTCTTAACATTGACCGGCACTAGGCATCAACCACCTCTCTAGATGACTCTACTTTGAGTAGGGGGGCTGGATGATCTTCAGAGCTCCCCTTCCAACCTCAAATGTTTCTGTGTTTTATGATATCCTCAACAGAGCTGGCAATGTCTTTGGTGATATCCATCTCTTGATTTGGTCCCCTCCATTCTCTTTTCACAAGCTACTGATGAAACATCACCAGCAGATACCCAAGGACTGTTGCAACAGAGTAACCAGCAAGGACTTGATGCCTTGTTGCTACCCAGCACATAGTTTTGAGCCAAGAAATGTGCAGTAGTTTTGACAGGTGAACATTAAGATTCTGTAATTAATGGGAACTGAAAATATTTCTCACCTTTTTCAATAAATTTTGCAAAGCTAGTCTACTTGGGGAAACAAGTATTTCTGACATTACATTGTATATTGTTCTGAAGTATTTGTATGAGGTACTCAATAGTTTTCTGGCAATTCTCCTGGTGACAGGAGGCAAAACAGGAATAGTTGTGTTAGAATCAATACAAAAGCTATGTGCTCTCTCAGTGCAGACTGGCACACGGCTGGTTGAAAGCATATGCTGGGAAATCATCTGAACATTTGTCTACTGAAAAGGAGCATCTTAAGTATTTCAGCTGGTGTCATACACAAGCACTCCAGTGTTCACAGGTTGTCATCATAACTGAGCAAAACCCAAGATTTGTGAACAAACATTCAGTAATGACAGTTTTACTGGTTCTACATCTCCCTGCCTTCCTATCAGAGAGTATTTTTTAGAAAGAGGTATAGACTTCACTGTCACAAGAAAGAAGTAAACAGCCAAAACCAAACTCTCAGCCAGGATTTTTAGAAATTTGAAACATTGTCAGAAATATTTCTTTCAACACTTCACCACAATCCTTTAAAAATGCTTTTTTGCTTGCTAGAAAATTCTCAAGTGTAGTTACACTAATAAGTGAGTTTCCACTTTTAGTTTTCAAACCAAAGAGACAAAGTATGACTTTTAAAGAAACCTCAAATTATTCCATGGCTTTCACTTCTCTGAAGATGCATTAATGTTACATATTTAGTAAGTACACATTTTTCCAGGATACATCACTATAGGTTCATCTACACCAACAAAATTGTCTAACTTGGTATATTTGTGTTGCAATGCTTCTCTTGCTGCCAGGAGCATGGTTTCGGTTGCGTAAAGAAACAGAAATATTATATTGGTGCTTACTTTTCCTAATCACATAGATGGATGACTGATACAAAAGAGTTTACACTCAACAGCAATGGCAACAATTTAGTTTCTAAGTTTTCTGTCCAGGATAGCATTTTTCTGCAATATATTTAATTTGCAATATGCTTTGTAATTATTTTCAGGAAATTATTATCACTTAAGTGTACAAAACCATCAAGAACTGAAGAGAAGGAATGAGTATCAAATGAATCTTAGTGACTTATACATTAGAATATTTTGATTTTAATTTAGCAGAATCAAGCCTCCAGAACATTAGATCATCTTTGGAGTACTCTGGAAATTTGTTCAACTAAATCTGTGCAGATTGTTGTGGACAGGACAGGAAATAAGTCTCAAGAAACCCATTGTTGTGACGCTTCTTTGTTATTTAGAGACTAAATCAGGATCTCTAAATTTTACCAGCAAAACCATGCATGCACTCTTAAGAAAGCTACCACTAAATGCACATCATGACTTGATATTTTAATTACAAAAAACGTGCCGTAATCAAGTTTATATGCAGTAGACGATCCAAAACCAGCCTCACTCACCGTTGAGGGAGAAGCCTGTCATTGGCTAGGTAGCCCAGCTTATGTATCTCCTTACTGTAATCTCCATACTTGGACTGGACAGCATAAGAAGCCAGAAGAACTGCAGTTTCTGGTGGACAATATATTTCATCATTTAAGATTGCTTCTTTAACTTGCAGGAAGAAAAGTCTCTGAGTTATTTCCTGAATTAATTCTTCAGATACATCCTCTGGAAAAAACTTGGCCCTGAACTTAAACTGCAAAGGATTTTCTTTCCTTACATCTTGCTGTGTTACCTGAGGAGGAGGAGTGAAGCAAGAAATTAAAAAGAGCACTAAATGGTATATTAAAGACAATTAACTCAGTAGTAAGGAACTCTTTAGCTCCTCTACACTGAAATCAGTGCTTCCTGACAAGCCCACTGTGGAACTCACTAAAGGTTCATGTGGCGTTGAATCAAGTACACCAGTTTGGGTAAGTCAAACAATTTTGAACTACTCAAAGGCTGTTTAAGAGGGTTTTTTGTAGGCTTGTGTGAATTTGTATTTATCACAATAAAGATCTGGAAAAAAAGAAGTTGTTATACATGTTAAACAAATCTAAACTATATCCAAGGATGAATCACAAGAAGTAACAAATTAGGGTCTAACAAGGTTTCTTTAGCTAGAACTACAGCATCTCTCTTCAATGTAAGTGTAAAGTTGGATTCTTTTAAAAGTCTTTGAACTACTGAACTAAATACATGTATTTTGTTCCTGTGCAAAAAACGTAATTCCATTAACTAAATTATTTTTCTAGAACGGATAAGTCTTATAGTAGTGATTTCTATGAAGAGATCAGATGGGGTCATCTTAAGTTTTAAGCGTCTACTTCAAATTCCAAGAAAAACTCATTTTTATGTAGAATTTTCCATTTCGTTTGGATTCAGCTTTTAGCACTGATTATGACTAAAGCAAAAACATTCAAAATTAAACTAATTTTAACATCAAATAATACAGTGATTCTTAAAAGGTACATTCATAATAAAATAAATCTCATACATCCCAGTTCCTCAAGCACTTTATTACACATTTAATTTTATGTGCACTAGTAGTTCCACTAGAACTTCTTCATTACACATGAAATGATGCATCTGTTTGCTTGACTTGTAGGATGTATCAAAAACTGTAAATATAATGCAAGCATTTAATCACGTACATAAGGCAGCATAAGTACTATATTCAACTTTTCAGATGTCAATTTTAAAAGTTTTTCTCTTTTCATTATTGTCCACCTGCTTCTGATTCACACACACAGTATTTCACTTCAATCTCACCAGTGAACGATTAGATGTGCTCTTACCATAATAAAAACTTATTTGCACATCTATTCTGTGACTTACCAGATCTTATCTGTATTTACCGCAAATATTTAAATAGTAATGTACAAGTTAGAGCCAGTTTATGATGATGCATTTAAGAATCAAATATTACAAGCTTCAAAAAAAAAAAAAAAACCAATAAAAAAATAGATAACTGCCTTAGTCAAAGTTAAAGAAATTAGCACACCCTTGCTGCTCCTGAACTGCATCAGCAACTTAACTTGCTAAAGACTTTCATAGAGCAATATCTTCTGTATTTTTTGCAAACGATGCACCAAATCATGTAGTCTCCAACCACTGGAGACAAGCTGTTAGGGCTAATAAAGTATCTGTAGCTTTAGTAGTTAGCAGGTTTAACTCACTGGATTTACCACAGAGAAGGAAAGATCATATAAATGCATTCAGCGGTACCTGCTCCTAAACCCCTCCCAATTTACCTCCTAATACTGAAGATAAAAAAAGGTATTCTTGATTAAGTTGAACTCAGAAAAATCTCTTTATTCTAAACAGTGCCATTAATAACCTGACAGCCAATATTAAAATAAAGAGTGACCATTCAAATTCATAAATAGTATTTAAAACAAAATAATCTGATTCCCAACAGCTGGGAGATAAAAGGTGCTCAGTGCTGTTGGGGAAAAACAAACCAAAAATTATCCTACAATCTACCTATTAGATACCCAAACAGAAGTTTAGGAACATATTATTGTTGCCTTGTTTACAGATCCTATAGTTGTATACATGCAAATTCCTGAAGCTCAAATACTTCACACAACCCCAGCTGTAAAACATTTATTCTATTACATTTTGCTACATGAGAATAGGACAATCATACGAATTTAAGTTTTCCTAATGCAGGCATCACCAGGGTACTGGAAATACAGGAAATTGTGTCTCCTTCTCAAATTAAATGTTGATACAGCTTTGCATATTCTTTTATAACTAACAAAACCGAACACTATTTTGTCATTTGAAGCAAACGAAAAGAAACTTTTCAACTAGATTTGAAGCCAGCTATATCTCACCTACAACATTAGAGCAACAAGCCTTCTAAAAGTAAATTTCAAACTGTACACTTGCCTATATATTAGGGAATTGTTACCTTTTTATTTAGCTTCAGCCAAGTTGAGTAGCCTTTGCTGTCCACATACTGTAGCCCAAAAAACCAGACTTCACGAAGACCAACAGTTTTCACCACCTAAAGATAAATGATCCACAACCATCAGTAATCACTACACCAGGATTTTTTTTTAATGGTGATTAAGCTAGAGAAACCATCTCAAGCTAAAATGTAATCAAGTTTTAAAAGAACAAAAAAAAAAAAAAAAATTAAAATAGTAGCAAAACATCAGGTTCAGGGAAGCATTCTAAATGAACATCAGGTTCAGGGAAGAATCGTAAATGAACCCAAACACCATGTTGCCAAACCACCAACTGGATTGTGCTGCTTACTGCGCACATCAAACTCAGCACCTGAGGAATATAAGGTAGCAAACAGGACCCTGATATTTGAAAGCACATCTGGGAAGTGATCTGCACACCTACAGTCAAGTAAGTCCACTTCAACAGAAGACAACTGGTGAAACTGTAATAAAGAATAATAATAAAGAATAATACTTGTGGACAAGTATGAGGTAATGAGGATGAATCAACTCCTTCAAATGTTTTTGATATGATCTAAGAGTTAATGATAAAAGGCATAAGTATGATCTAGCTGATAAACCATACATGAATTTCCTCTGATCAGATCTATCACCAAAGGTTACTAAAGAAACAAAATAAACCTTGAATAGAGGGACAGTCCTTTTATGGATATACTAGTTTAAAAGAAAGAAAAAAAAAAAACCAAACTGTTTTCACAAGACTTGTAGTGGAACCCCTAGAGAAGTCCCCCAGGACTTCATATGTGATCTGCAAAAAAGGATGAAACTGATGTGACAAAATCTGCTGCAGAAAGCCTTCCATAAAGATCTGTGAATGAACAGTAAAAAGGAAGATGAACTTCAATAAAAGATGGTATTTAATAAAAACAAAATACTGTACATAAAAGACAACGATTTTAATTATGTGAACATAGTTCTCGCTGTAAAGGAAAAAAGCAACAAAGCTGTTATATTACTATACATGTCAATGGTATTCCCAAATCTCTAATACTACATCTGGACTGATCACATCAACTTAAAAAAGGATGCTGCAAGCACTGGAAATGTTTCAGAAGCATTGAAAAGAATGATCAACGACATGGAACATTTTCTGCATAGCTAAGATGAGAACCGAGACTACTGACAGAGAAATGAGGAAAGGAAAAATATTATATAGGTCTTTAAGACTTGCATGACATGTAGAAGGGAAATAGAGAATTATTGTTCATAATTCTTGCACCATGAGAAATAAAGAGAATCAACAGAAATCATTAGCTAGCAGGTTCAAAGCAAACAAAAAGAAGCACTTTTACTGCACAGAGTATAATGAAACTGTGGAACTATCTTACAAGTCTTTTGCATAGTAAAAGTATACATGGATTCAATAAGCAATTAAGCAGAAAGGTCCAGCAAAGATTATTAAAAAAACCTGTAAACTCCAGCTCCAAAAGATCCAGTATGGCAGTACTTACGTATGTGCTTGGGTTGGACCATGCTGGCAAGCTGGTTTACTGAAGGCTGTTTTATGGAAGCATTCAGATGCATGTGAAGTAAACAGAATTTTACACATAGATCGTCCTCCATTTTAAAGTAGTACTATCGGGTTGCAAAATTAAGATTTTAAAATTAGAAAATGTCACAAGATAGCTGTGCAAGCTTACTTCTGATGCCTTGCATATTTGCACAATCATTCAAGCGCCCGTTGTTTCCTCCTCTACCCTTTTCACTTTCAAGCTCCAAAGCACAGAATGGACAATGCTCATGGATCCAACCCAATTCCTTTAGCAAGCAGTTGTTTTCTCTAGAATTCCTACATCATTTACTTTAGAACATAATAAATGTTAAGAAGAAGTTTATGTTACCAGTATGGCCCTGAGTAACATTAAATTTGGTGTCCCAATGCAGAAGTTTCAGACCCACTGCTTCTTTTGGCACAGATCTCCTATATGATGCTATTTACGGCTTTATCAGATGACTCAGAGAACGCTCTTTAGTTTGCAACTGTGCAGGCCGAGCCTTTGTACCTGATCAGCTCCCTGAGCTGCAAAAGTCAGTAAGAACCACAGATGCTCAACAGCTCTGCCCAAGAGGCATAAGAAGACAAGTGATTATGCTCACGTCAAAACATTTTGCTCTCACCTGCTAACTACAGCCTTTCAACTGAGATGCACATAATTTAAATACAGACAACTTGGCCACTTCAATGCAGTTACACGTGCTTGCAAACCACCATTAAAAACAGCTTACACATTAGCTTGTTTTACTTCAGATTCCACAAATAAGGTAAGAGCATCATCTATCACTGCCTCTCAGGTCAAAGGAAAAAGAAAAAAGAATTCTGAAACTTTGTACCGAGATAATATAAGCACTGATGTACCACAGTAGTGTGATATGAAAAATAAGTATAGAAGGCAAAACTCAGGAGTTTGATTCTGACTCAAAAGATTCATGAAGTGGCTTCAGGTAAGTTTTCATCATATCTATAAAACAGATCTATACACCATCACATCCTACAACTTCATAGGCAATAAAAACTTCTTGGAGAAGAAATGCAACCAGAGCAACAGACATGTTTTGGCAAATCAAAACATACACATAAAGATAACCTAGCAAGAATTGTATTGAGCCAGCTTCTGAAAGATCGTAAGGGAGGCTCCTGAGATATCTGGAAAGGCCAGTGGGGTATAACTCAAAATAAAGGAGACAAGCCTCCCATTCTTTCTGAAAGGCAACTGCAGTAAAGTACTGACACTCAGTGCTAACACCTTATTGAAAACAACAAAACAAAACAACCCCCACCATTACCACCAGTGTGTAAACAGACCCACCACAGGGTTCTTCCTCTCCTAGGAAAGTTATAGATGTTAAATTGATTGACTAAAGGAGGACAGATCCCCTCTTGCCCATTCTGACAACTGACAGAACAGACAGAAGGACTGATGATAAGTATGTTAAGATACCTTCTGAAATATGAGTAATTAAAAAAAAAAAAAAAAGAGGTTGTGCACTAAATAAGAACTATACCGAATTTCACAACGGAAAAGAGAAAGCCTCAGATATCAAATGCTGAATTCTTTTCTGCTAGTAGATGAAGATGATGAACACACACATGGAATGGGAAACAAATCAACTACTCCAGAAAACAGCAACTAAAAGCTTAAAAGAACCACAGACTGAAAAAGAGGACAAGTTGTTCACCAAAAATGTAGAGGAGCACTAGACATCCGCTAAATTCATGGAGATGTTATTTTCTGCAAGCAATAACCAACAAGTCTACTGTCACATCCACCATTTCTGCATAAACCTTGAAGACCAATCCTCTCAATAACAGTGTGTGCTGGGTTTGGCTGGAATAGTTAATTTTCTTCATAGTATCTTCTGTGAGTCTGCGTTTTGGATTTGTGCTGGAAATAGTGTTGATAACACAGGGATGTTTTCATTACTGCTGAGTAGTGCTGACACAGAGTCAAGGCCTCTTCTGTTCCCTCACCCCACCCCACCAGCAAGGAGGCTGGGGGTGCACAAGAAGCTGGGAGGGGGCACAGCCAGGACAGCTGACCAACTGACCAAAGGGATATTCCATACCATAGGATGTCATGCTCAGCATATAAAGCTGGGGGAAGAAGAAAGAAGGGGGGAATATTCAGAGTGATGACATTTTTCTTCCCGAGTCACCATTACGTGTGATGGAGCCCTGCTTTTCTGGAGATGGCTGAACCCCTGCCTGACGATGGGAAGTACTGAATGAATTCCTTATTTTGCTTTGCTTGCATGCATGACTTTTACTTTCCCTATTAAACTGTCTTTATCTCAAGCCACGAATTTTCTCACTTTTACCCTTCCGATTCTCTCCCCATCCCATCAGGGGGGAGCGAGCAAGCAGCTCTGTGGGGCAGACACAGTGTTATTCAGTTGTCTTTCTA